AGAAGTAAGTGTATATAAAGGAGCACTACCAAAAATGGAAAGAGGTGGGCAGGGTGCCACTGTGTTTGATTTATTACCTGAGCAATATGTTAGTAAATAGAAAAGATAAGATCTTCTTATTTTATATTTTAGCTTGTCAATATCAGTAATTTGAGTTTCTAATTTGTACAAAATTATAGACTTAGTATTTTGACTTCACAAACATCTAATTTGAACCAGTGCAGTATTCAACATACCATGTGACACACAAAAATCTGTGTTTTTAAATATTTACTTTTAAATTAATAAATTGAGTAATGTATAGTTCTAAAATTTGAATTATAATCTACAGTTTGATACCAAACTTATTGACATAAATTCATAAATATTACTTCAATAAAATTTTGAATGCGAGTCAACAAACGAGATGACATGGCCTTTCACCTGGGACCTGTCTCGAAAAGATTAATTAAAAAAAAAACTTTGTATATATTTTATTTTCCTTAACTTATAAAATTTTGAGCCTAAATTGTTGATTTTATGCATTAAAAATAGCTTGGTTTCTATATTTGCTCAATCTAGTAAAGGACTATAAGCTTATTGTTAATTCCATATTATAAAATTGGAATTATGATAGTTAAACTGTATTAAAGACTTTTATGGACACAAGATAAAATTAAAATATTCAGTTACTTAGCTGTAATAGTATCTATTTTTTTATCATATTTGCCACTGAAATATAATATTGCTCAGAGTTTACAAAATGCCTGACATACATGTAACAAGAGCTGGACAATAAGTGGAATTTGTTAATCGATTAATTGTTGCACTCATTAACTAATTACATTCAACTCATTGGTTAGTCTCACATAGCTAAAAAATGAAAAGAAAAACTACCAATTATTCTCACATTAGATAACTAAAAAAAAATAACACTAAAATTCAGGTTTCAATACCACCAGTGGGCAGAGCACAAACAATCCATTATGCAGTTTTGTGTCTGGTAACAAACAACTATAATATCAATATTTTGATTACTTGATAGTTGGAATAATCAAAAATAGTTATAATTGGAATCCCTAATTTCAATTAGTTGATTAATTTTTGTGAGTACTAAAACTAATTAATTAAACTGAACAAACATGAATTAATTGAAAATAATAATGGAAAATCATAATTACAATATTTCAAAAACAGTAATAACTAGAAACAGTTTTGTGACGTTAATCAATTTAATTGTAATTTTGATCAGTTGATTATTTTACCTGACACTAATCGATGTAATCAATGCTCATAGGTAATAAATTATACTGATTAACTGGGTAACAGTCAGAAACACTTGACCAATTTCTGATTACCACAATTATATTTTTATAAGTATGTTTTTAAAAGACTACAGAGAATATTTGTAAACATAACAGAGAAGTCAACCCTATATGATTAGAATAGGAATGGTAGCCTAAGAAAAATGAAATATGAGCATAAAATTAATTTCATCTAAAATATGCAGAGTAAAGCATACAAAATGCATAGTTTTTACTTATATTGCACAATGTAAAGCACAGCCAGTCAACAGTATATTTAGATTTAAGTTTTTGTTATACCTATTTTCAGCAAGAGTTCTTTACTGGGATGCCATTTGTAATTGTTTTGTTTGATTTTTTTTTTTTGCCTTTATTTTACTATATAGGTATTGTTTAAATATTAAACTACCTGTGCTTGCTTTTTTTTTCAGTTTCTTTCTTGTGAGGGTGACATTTCTATATGGAACTCCATGCGTTTTTTTGGATACACATTCTTGTCTATATAGTTTCTGATATCTTTCTATTGAAACTAATACAACTGTGTATCTTCTAAATACATTAACTAACAACGTGTTTCCGGAGTAGCTAACATTTTACTCGGAGTTACAAAAGCATTTGATTCTGGTTTGAATGCAGCTGCAGAAGTACAAATGTTTAAGAGACTATGACCTTGATGGTATTGCTGTTTCATTTTACCCTCATAACTAATTTACTTGATTATGTTAAACAACAAAAATATGGAATTTAAAAGAGTATATTCATCATAATGCTTCAATCCAGGGTGAAGAATTGCAATGATTCTGCCAAAATAGGAATGTTTGTCATTTCTGTTAAAAGTAAAATTTTCTGAATAGAAAAATTATACCTGTCAAATTCTACTGTGTAGACAAGCAAAAGAAATCGTTTCTTTGATGTGGTACTTGACTTTGATAGTGGACTGCCTCGAACATAGCCAGATCTTTCTTTACGCATCCACTCCAGCTCAGAATCTGTTAATACTTTTATGAAGACTGAGCTACTGGTCTGGAAAAATGGATTTCAGAATACTTAAAAAAAAAAAGTGACATACTTCAACAACTTAAAGTAACCATAAATAATTGTCTAAAAAAAGAATTGCCCAAACATTTCAGTTACTGAAATAATATTCTTGTAATTCCATCAATTACAAAAATTATATCAGTTTGAAATGTGAAAACCAGAAACAGCTTCTAACTTCCAAGAACTTATTCAATTAACTAACCACCTTTTAAACCATTGAATTCATTGGATTGTTGACTAGATCTTCATGTTTACAACACTTAGAATAATGGAAAATAAGTTTTGCAGCTATTCTGGAAAAATAATAAGATTAATTTTACTACTTTCAAAAGTATTTATGCTTTAGCTTTGGTGTGCCACTATAAGCAAACAATAGCACCATCAAGCTACATTCAACCTCAAATATTGCTATCAATTTCTTTCATTTTACCTTCTAGCTCAACTAATTAAATACCTACTGAAAAATAGTTAAAACAGTATTATATACTTAAAACTATGAAATGTTTTCCTAAAATGATTATTTTTATATATCCAAAGAAAAATTAAAATATTAAGCTACTAAGCTGTATTAGCAGTTTTTTTTTTATCATATTTGCCATTTCTAATTGGTACCAAATCTAATGGATATAAAATAGGAATGTTAACTGTAGAAAAATTAAATACGATTAGAAAAACATAAATAATTTAATTTCTGAAGTCACCTGTATTTTACATATCTAACTGTCTATTTTTAGGATGCATGAATGGTACTGCAGTGGCTAGATGGGATTCTAATTTAGAGGCTTTAGCTGTAAGGTGTTTTCTAACCAAATGTATGTTAAGTCTCACGGGTGAATGAAGATGAAATATTATGTAGCCCAGTCATCATATTATGAGTAGAATTAAGAACTACAGTAAAAGCCAACAAACTGGATCCATGGCAGAATCAAGTGGAGCTGACAAGTCTCAAAATGGATTGTACCAAAATGAGGGCACTCAAAAAGAAAAGAATTATTTAAGCAGGTTACCTCATTGACATAGTCATCCTTTAAATATATATGTTAGGGCAGTTTGTTGGTATGTATGTATCTATGGAGCATTGCACATTCTCTGGTGTAGTCATAGGCGATGGTATAACATCACTATCTGAAAAGGCTAGCTAAGTCAAAAATCCTGAACAATAATCTAAGATGATCCCCAAAATTCCTTACAGAGTCAATGAGTTAGTCATAAAGACTGGCCTCGCTTAAATTGTCAGTATGCCACTCTAAAAGTATGAGTGGAGGTTGCAAGCACAAAAAACGGTAAACATAGGACTCTAGAAACAAAAGAAGATGCTAAAATCTTAAAACTCCTTCTGGTAAGTTTATTTGTTTGTTTTTAGTTTTGTGCAAAGCTACGCAAGGGCTATCTGTGCTAGCCGTCCCTAATTTAGCAGTGAAAGACTAAAGGAAGGCAGCTAGTCATCACCACCCACTGCCAACTCTTGGGCTACTCTTTTACCAATGAATAGTGGGATTGACTGTCACTTTATAATGCCCCCAGAGCTGAATGGGGGGGGGGGGATTTGGTGGGACAGGGATTCAAACCCACAACCCTCAGATTGTGAGTGAAGCGCTCTAACCACCTGGGCATGCAGGGCCTTCTGGTAAGGTTCCTTTGAAAAGGAAATAGGTTAAAGTGAAATACCTGCAAAGAGAGAAACAAAACATGCAATTTTTTCACTTTCAAATATATATTGTTGTAAGCTATATTTTTAATTCGTTTGTTACCTAAAGGACATAGAATACCTATAAAATTCTAAGTTGACTTCAAAGTTTTTCTCACATATTCAAAGCTAAGTTATAAACATGAGAAAAGTGCACTGGTTTTTTTTCAAGACAGAGAGTTGAATCAGTTGGTGTGTTTTCATGAAGTATTTGAATCTATGGTTGTTATCACATTTATTGTGTTACCTTGGACAAGTAGAATGGTTTGTTTTATATTAATTAACATCATTTGCAAAGTAGGCCTATAACAATTTATGATAGCATTCAAGCTTGTAAAAATGTGAAAGGAGGAAATAAACCAATTCCTTATAGTTTAAATGGTCTGGACTTTGAATTATTTTCACTGGTTAATTTAAGAGAACTTACCAAAGAAAGACAAACATTACAATAATATATCAAAACAGACAAGTACCCTGCAACCACCTTAATGGGCAAAAGCATCAAAGGAACATGAGAGCCAAGTAGTAATAGCACCAACATCAGTGAGACCCTCAGGTAAAATAATCAGGAAACTGAGAATGACCAATAATGATTACCTGCAATATGTAATAACATTCAGAAATGATGACTTGTATTTCATTGACAACACGAGTTGAAACTCAACATGGAAAGGCCTTTTGTATTTCAGAATTAGACCTAACTAATGACTAATAGAGATAATTAGCTCTTCTGACTTGTAACCAATATTTCCATAAATGCACCCAACTAGTAAGAGGGTGCTGCCTCAGTGACTGAAGTGATGTATTCATCTTTAGGCTAAAATATTTTTCTTTAATGATGCTTTTAAGTGGGTTCCCATTTATATTTAATTTGTGATCCAAATTAAGATAATTCAAGTGCATTACCTTACACTTGCTATAATTAATAGTCATTTGCCATATATATATCTGTCCAAATTGTCAAATGATCTACAGTAAGTCACTCTGTAATAACTCTACATCTTCAATATGGCTAGAAATACCCAAGTTTAATGTCATCAGTAATCTTAACCATACCCCTATAAATTAACATAATTAAGAAAAAACAAAGACCTAAACATCATTAACTACTGATGCATTCCATAAGTAACATGGGTACATTTTAACCAGTTTCCACTAATAAAAGCCTTTTTGCTTTCTCCCATCCAACTTCCTTACAATCCAAGTAGTTAATCCATGATAATATTTTCTTAATCAGTCAGTAAGGATAAATTTTCCCATTTAAAACTCTTTTACATACCTTCTTTAAGGCAGTTTTTAGCATCTCAGTAAATATAGGAAATTGTTTGAAATTCCCTGTTTTCTTTGTCAATTTTTCAATATCTGTCTTAAAAGAAAAGAATGACAATGTATTATTAATGAATTTTATTCAAGAAACATCAGATATTTACAAATGTATGATACAGGAAAACAACTAAATAGTAAGTAATTTATGGGCACACTTAAACGGGATCTACCTGTCTGCTTGGAGTTGAAGTGCTTACATAACTTGTAAGTTATCATGAGACATGATAATTTACCTTGAAAATTTAACTAAGCATAACTCACAAATTAAACTTTAATAACACAAAAAAAAAAGGATTAAACATTTTTAACTACACTGAAGTATCATTAAAATTCTTCCAATTATGGAACACATTAAGGCTTATTAAAAAAAGGGGGCATTTTTGTTCAACTCTTTCAAGTTATAATGATAAAAGAAATGTAAGAAAATATTTTTTTACTCATGATAGCTCTTCTTCCTGAGCACCTTCTGGTTTAACCTTCTTACTCTTAGTAACAGTGCATAAAAGCATAACCATACTGGTTGCAAGAGATTTACTTTAAGATAAGATGTTCCTGAATTTATTAGTCATTTTTATCTTACTTATTTTGGTAATTATACTTCAATCTTATTACTTTGAGAAAATTTATTACATATATGGCTTTCGTTAATGTTATTGTTCTGTATTTGTACATTTACAAATTATTATTACAAACTGTGATATTAGAATACTGACTATTTAAATGTTTTGTATATAACTTTAAAGTTTAAGTTTAGTACGTAATCTTAGATGACACTGACGTTGTCCTACTGCAGTTTAGAACTAACAGTAACACGAACAGTAGGATTGTGGTTAGTCCCTTGTACAACTTTTTTAGAATTTCACATTTTAAAGAACTAAAATTTAGTAAAACTAAAAGAAAAGTATAGACATAAACCCTGTTCCACTGCTAAGCCTAAGAGTAGTAACACTAACACAACCAAATACAGAATTAGATACTTGGAGTTGAACCAACCAGAGGTGTCAAATCGTCCAGACCACACTTCACCACTACGTTTATCGATCACTTCGATAAACAGTACAGAACAATCTGTTGCTGCTTTCATTCGAATAAAGTAAATACTTTCATCAGTCAGTGAGCAATAACTAAAATCAGACGACAACGCTCCATCCATATTTTACAAGGAATATAACTCTACAAGTTACAACTATTCTTGTAAGTTGTAGATTTAAACATTCCACTTGATCGTTGTTTTGACTATCAAAGCACCCTCTACTTTACAGAAAGTACGTGCGAAATCTGAAAAAACAAAACAATAATCTAATTTTAATCGAAAAGTATTGTAAAAGTAATTCAAACTGTACTTAAAATAATCAAATTAATTTTGATTTATAAAAGAGAAAATAATGCAAAATCTGTTAAAAAAGTTTTATACACTTCAACATTTTTTAAATATTAATATCATTTTATTTTATTTCAGTAATTAGCGTATAGACAGCAATGACATCTCAGTAGTTTTGAAACGAAAACCTGCAATGATATGAAATTCTAAGTTTACTTTATCGTGAATTCTTAAAATAAAGTCATACATACATATAGAATCAAGCTGGCAAAAACACTAAATTTCTAATCGGGTTAGGCTAATAACTCTAAGTCAATATTCGACAAAAAGGATTGTGGTAGCAGGATTGTAACTTCTGTTTAAAAACGATGGAATCAACTTTGTCCATTTTCGCAAATACTTATAGTTTTGTTTCGTCATTTTTTGTCATATTTTGGGTCCTAATCGTTTAAATATTCATTAACAGAACTGACTTTTCCTTGAATGCTTACTAATAAAAATTTAAGCAATATTCCTCCCCCTGAATAATTGCTAGATGGAAACATGATCGAACAAGAGGATCATATCAGTTCTGAGCCTCCCAATGGCTCAGCGGTAAACCTAGAGGCTTATAATGTTAACAACCGGGTTTTGATACCCGTTGTGGGCACACCACAGACAGCCTATTATGTAACTTTGTGCTTCATAAAAAACAAACAAACACATTAGTTCTGAACTTAAGAAAAAATTGAAAAGCTTAGAAAACGATACAGTTCCTGGCACAGATAATATTTCCCCGTGGGTTTGAAGGAGGTTAAGAATTGGATATATTAGCCTCTTATTACAACTTTTTGTAAGTTCTTAAATAGTTTGGGGATGCCAGAGGATTGAAAGTTGACTAATATTACTCCGCTTTTCAAGGGAGGCGATAAAAATTGTCTTAGTAATTATAGGCCTATTAATCTTACATCAATGATGGGAAAGTTTTGAAAGTGTGATAAAAGATGCTTAACAAAGTCATTAGACAAAGTTTAAAATTCTGTAGGATTGTCAGCATGGTTTCTCTAGAGGATGATTTTATTTTGTTCACATTCTCTGAAGAGTTACTCCTTACATAGATGAGGGTATAGGTATGAATTTGATGTGTCTTGATTTTCAGAAGGCATTTGACAACATACCACATAATAGGCTTGAGTAAATGATATCTTTTGGTGTGGGGAATAAGTTGGCTCATTGGATAGAAATTTGACTAGATGGAAGAATGCAGAAGGTTTTTATGAATGGAATTCAGTCATATTGGCTCAATTTTACAAGTGGGGTACCTCAGGGCTCAATGCTAGGATCTTTACTCTTTTTGATTTACATCAATGACAAAGATGGAGGAAATGTCAATAACTTATTTAAATTTACTGATAATATTCAGGTTTGGGCTGTTTCTTTGTTGCCTCCCCCCCCCCACCGCATTCTGCAGAATTTATTTGTCTATATACAGTACGTATCGTTTTCTCTTGTTAAATGTTGTTACCATATGATTTAATAATTGAAATATTTGTACGGTAGTTTTTAAAACTTCTTTATTTTTAAATGTGCTTGTTCATATATAATTTATATGCTCCTATAATCATAGTGCGCGCCCTCTACCGATTCACCGCACCTCCCTTGTAAGGATGGGCTCCACACTTTGCGCATCACAGTCCTAATTGATTAGACTATAAATCTATACAAGCAATGTACTCTTGTTAATGGTAGAGCAAATAGGATTTTAGGTTATCTACACAAATTTTATATATAAATCTGAAGAGATTATAATTTCATTATGTATATAGGCGATTGGTTAGATCATATTTCAAATACTGCCTCCAGTCTTGGGCTCTTTACCTTAAGAAGGACATTGAATTGTTGGAAAGGGTAGTGTTGATGCATAATACTTATTCGTAATTAATGGTGAGAATGGTAGAACTAGGGAACAAATACAAATTTTGAGAGGATGAAAATCATTTTAATTTAAGACAGTTTTTGTTGTTTTTGTCTAATAGATGGTTGGCCTTTGGATTGGTTGTCGTCAGATGTGGTGGATACAATTAATTTAAGGAAGTTTAAGGGAAGGCCTGATAAATAGTTGAATAATAAGGGTTGTTTGATTGTTTTTATTTTCGTTTTAAAGTTTAATTTAATGGATAAGATGGCCTAGATGAACCAACAGGTCTCTTGTTGTCCTTCAATTATATGCAAAAAATATGTAATATGATGAAAATTGAACACATTATAAAAGAGCACGATCAATTAAATATTACCTATTCAGCTAAGCGAAGCCTAAACACATTTTAACTTATTCATCCTGATTATACTGTTACAACAGCGGAAGTCACGTGACGCTAGTAACACGTCATGAGATTCTAGAAGGATCATGTCTGTTCCTGGCAACTCTAGTCTTCTCTACGCGCCCTCTATTTTTGTATATATAAGCCGGCAAATGAAGTGACGATACAGATAATTGCAGACAGGCAGAGAAAGAGACGGACAATTGAGTCAAGCGCGGTAGTGACCGTAAGTAAAGTACGTGAATCGTTGTGAATTATAGCGTGTGTTCAAGTTAAAGTGACTGTGGAAATTAAGTGTATTGCAAAGTTGAATTGAGAAAGAATAAACTAGTTTTATTCAAGAAAGGACTTGTATCGCTGAATTTTTTCGGAAAGAATTTCTACGGAAAATTAACAAACGAACACAGACGTAACAATAGTTTATTACCATCCCTGTTCTTCGGTGGATCAGCAGAATATAATTCCTCATACCATACTTATATATTAATTCAAAATTCATTTGAAATCATTCAAAGCATTAAAACGTTTTTCTAGCATTTTATCAAAACAGGTTATGACTTTTTTTTATGAAAATGAACAGTACTTATCATTGTACTTTTAACTTTTTATTTGTAAAGGATTGGTTTGGTTTGAATTCCGCGCAGAGCTACACGAGGGCTATCTGCGCTAGCCATCCCTAATTTAGCAGTGTAAGACTAGAGGGAAGGCAGCTAGTCATCATCACACACCGCCAACTCTTGGGCTACTCTTTTACTAACGAATAGTTGGATTGACCGTCACATTATAACGTCCCCAAGGCGGAAAGGGCGAGCATGTTTGGTGGTACGGGGATCCGAACCCGCGAGTCGAGCGTTCTAACCACCTGGGCATGCCGGCCACAGCAGTGAAAGACTAGAGGGAAAGCAGCTAGTCATCACCATCTACCGCCAACACTTGGGCTACTATTTTACCAACAAATAGTGGGATTGACCGTAACATTATAACGCCCACATGGCTGAAAGGGTGCACATAGTTGATGGTACGGGGATTCGAACCCTGGACCAGCAAATTGTGAGTCGAGCGCCCGAACCACCTGGTCATGCTATTTGTAAGGGAAGACATAAGATCCTACTTTTGTTTTAGCTTACGCTCATTATTTCATTGAAGCTTTAGCCAAAAAATATGGTACCTCGCCCCACTGGAAACAAAGTATTAATGAATGGCGCTACCACTTGCATATTTATTACATGCCTTACACTGATAATTCTAGAAAAAATATCACTGGGTTATATTTTATTTAATGAAAAGCTTGTGAAATTGGTGTCATTAATTAGTACACCAACAATTTAGATGTTTATTCCATAACACAAAGCATATACCACTTCCTCATGTGAAACCTATTTAAGAATCCTATCACTTGTTAATACCACATTCAGTTGTGCATGTGAATATACAGAGAGTTGGTGCATTATATGAAAATAATTTTGGAGTTTCACCGTGTTGTTACAGTCCATGTGGCCACGTCTGGTCATGTTCATCTGAAAATCGTGCATTTTGACAAAATCCTTACAACATAGTTTCCATTGCAAAAGGCTCCGTCGTAACCAAAACATGCCATTCCTCCCTTAACGTTATTTAATTCATCTAATGTATATAAACGATGGTTTTACCTTTCAACATTTTGATTGCAAAGAAGTCCATAAGCGTTACATCTGGTTACTTGACCGCTATGTCTTCATATGGAATAAAATGAATACTCATTTCATTCTTCACCTACCTGAGGTACGTGATGATTGAATGAACATATCTTGGAAGCAATGTTTACACACATGACTTGTGTTGCATTTTCAGAAGGTGATTTCTTGACTGTGTTACATAGTGTTGCCTGAGGCACATGGACGGCCTTTGCTACTGGCTATTTTATTCGTGGATTTTCACCTGTTACAAGACGCAGCACTTTTTAACACGGCTTGGGTCCAACTTGTTGCAAGTCTACTTATAAATGTTCCTTGGGACCCCAAGTTGATCCATACTCTTTTGTTTTCCCATGCCATCAAGTACGAAGGATATCCCTGTCTTTGAAATTCTAAACCCCGATCTGAATACATCTTAATGATTAGAGTGTATGAATAGAAAAGAACTGTTACATACCATTCCCAAAAGCGATCAATTTTCGGTAGCATCACATTACCTACGAAACGCTAAACAATCTCAAATTATAGTTCTGATATATTCCATTCCAGCCGTGGTTGTCACATGACTTATTAATTTGTACGTTCAAGATACATTTTAATACAACGTGCTTCACCCTTGTGTATATATATATACATGCGTGTAAATAGATACATTTTTTATATATATTACACATGTTAACGGCATAAAAGATTTAAAACTACAAATTGTCCTCTTGTATTTTACTGAAATAACAAAAAAGAAAATAAAGATATTTTATTGGAATTGTGGGAGTGTAAAGATTATATGAAAGTAGAAATTACAAAATTATTGTTTCTTCATCTGGGATTCGAACCGTGCTCTTTTACATAATAAGTGAGTGCTTTACCAATGAGGACATAATAAATTTGAAATAATCACACAAGTGAAAACTTTTACGGATTGCTTCTCCCCCTCCTTTAGTTTTCAATTGGCGAC